CCCCAGATGAGTCCCAGAAAGCAACCACAGGAGGGCTTCAAGTGAGAATGGCCCAGCTCAGCTCTCCCCGTATTTCTGACCCACAAGACCGTGACCCAAATAAAATGGTTTGTTTTAAATGGCTAAGTTTTGGGATAATTTGTTATGCTGAAATAGTAGCCAGAACATTCAGCCAAGGAAGAGAATTCAGGCTGGTGCTCTTGTGGGATGGCAAGTGGACCCATAGTCCCTGATCCCAGCTCCTCCTGCAGACTCAGATCAGTTCTAGAACATACAGATCATTGACTCTCAGTAGCTCATTGTCCATTGATGAGCCAGGCATGTGATACAACCACTTCTCCATCACTAGCAAGGAAAGAGTTAGGAGTTGACATTGCCTGGGTGGCAATGAGAAGCTGTTGAGGAATTTGCAGTAGGGAGCAGTTGAGCTGTGCTCCAGGGAGGATCACTGTGGCTGTGGAATAAAGATCAGAGTGGTGAGGGGAGGGGAGGGGCATGAAGAAGGTGGGAGGAGACACCAGAGGATGGAGCCCTGTGCCACAGACAAGGTTCTTGGATGCAAATCATAGAAACCACATCCAGCCAATTTATGCAGAAAAGAAGTTTACTGGGTGGCATCACTCTTTTCCCCTCAGACTGATGGAAGACTGGAGATGAAGGGCCAGGCGTCTGTGAACCAGGCCAAATCATGCTGGGGAACAGCAGCTAGGGTGCCAGGGTGTGCAGAGTAGCCCGGACACTAACCATTGCTGAGAAGAAAATCACTCCCTCACCCTCGGCCCTTGGGTCCTTGTCCAGGCAAGAACTTTGAATTGCCAAGGAGTGGGAAAAGAAAACATTTACCCCATTTTTTTTGTAGGGGACACCCTTTAGGGTGCTCCAAAACTTGTTTGCGTACTGAGTAGTCCTAGACTAAAAAGTAAAGTCCATGCCAGAAAGTTCTCAAGAGATTGGCCTGACCCAAGGTGCGGCAATGGATGGGGAGAGAGGACACCTGCTTTAAGAAGACTTGAAGGGGGATGCAGGCTGACTGGTGGCCAGCGTCAGACTGTAGGCTCACTCTGCTTGGGTTCCAATCCTGGCTCTGCCATTTGGTAGAGGGGTGAACTTGGGCAATTTGTGTAATTATTTGACCACGCTACATCTTTGTTTCCTCATCTGAAAGATGTGGGCAATAATATCATCTACCCATAGAGTTATAGTCAAGATGAAAACATTTTGATAAGGTGTTTATAATAATAGCTGCCCATAGTAAGCAGCCAACTATCATTATTACTTTCAGTAATTGGGGTGAGCCTGGTGGGGAGAGTGAGGGGTTCAGGACCCTCCGGCTTCTGTCTGGGCTCCTGGGGTGGAGGTAAAGAGGAACGGAAGGTGCAGTCTTGAAGGGAAGATGCTGAGTTTGGCTCCGGGTGGGCTGTGTTTCAGTGCTCCTGGGAAACTCTGGGACAGATGTCCAGGGGGCACTGGAGATAGGGCCTGGGCTTCAGGAGCAGGTGTACCAGGCTGGGGGGAGATTTGGGAGTTCTTGGCAGGGAGATGGTGATTGCACCATGGTCTCCCACGTGAGCAAGAGAGAAGTGCCTAGGTAGACTTTGAGCCAAGCATCCTAGGACAAGTTATTCTATCCCGGGTGTGTTTGTGTGTTGGGGGTGGGGTGCTTATGATCCAACCCGTCTGTCTTTGATCCAGGACTTGTCAGGGGCATGTTAATTCTTGGCACCTCTGGCTAGTGGACAAAGTGGACTCTGGAGACCAGAGAGAGTCCCCAGGCAAAAACGTGTAGGGGTGGGCACTGGAGGCTGGGCAGGTGTGCAGGCAGGGTGGTTCACCTTTAATGGTGGGCACAGAGAGGGAGCAGCCAAGGAGGCGGGAGGAAGATCAGAAGAGGAACGGAGCCATGGGGTTCGCTGGTGCCCACATTCACCAGTGGCACATTTTACCCACACTGTGACTCCCACTCCTGTTGTTTCTGAGTGCTTTATACCACCAGCCTGCTCAGCGGTGGCTCTGAAAGGCTGAAGAGGCGGTGTGTTGAGCCACCCACAACAGGTCCAGTCTCAACCTGGCTCAGCCAAGAGCCGGGAGGTGCCCCGGCTGGGTGAGCCTGGGTGAGCCTGGAGGAGAGCAGGGCCGGGGGAAATGGAAGGCATATTCCTGGTAGGCGACAGAGAGGGGCTGGGAACCTTTCCCGGGAAATAATGAGCGGAGGAACCTTTACTGGTTAGTTAAATCCCGGATGATCCCGGCTGCTGAAGACAGATCCAGACCCCTTAACGGATTTAGAGTCCAAAAAGACACTGGGGTAGCCCAGGGTGGGGCCGCTCGCGGGGGCCACGCCTCTGGCCGCAGATTTGCGCTGCTGGGAGGAGGGGGGACGAGGCTGGGAGGAGCCCACCCTGCAGGCCGGCAGGGCGCGGGTGCGCGCATAGACTCGGCACCTGGCGGAGGACACGCGGGGTGTGGGTGGGCTCGGAGCACACCCGGCTTTCTCTGGCCCTGGTCTCTTAAACGACCAGAGGCGCATCCGCCAACTCGGCGAATGCTGAGCGAAGCGCTCCCCGGCTCTCGCGCCGCGCATCCTTTGGCGCTGGAGCTCTGAGCCCATCCCTGCCACCTAGGGTGCTCGAGGGGACCCTGCAGCCCCCGCAGGAGCTGGGAGTGGGGCTGGGGGCGCGGAGCAGTGGGGCGAGTGGGAGGGGGGCGTTTCTCGGTGGAGAGGGGGCAGTGACAGTGCCCTCCCGCACGGCGCTCCAGCCACCGCCACGCTGCGAAGGGGAGAGCGCCCCAGGATCCAGCTGCCCCTGACACAGTCCTGCGGGCCCCTCGCAGCGTCCAGTAATTGCAGGACCCCCGTAGGGCCACCTCTTCTCTGAGTCCCCTCGAGCCCCAGCCTGGGCTCCTTTTCTCGGGCCCCTCGATCTGCTTCGCTTTCCCCGTTTCTCTCTCCGTGTCCCCTGTGACCGGGTTAATAAGTCTCAGCTTCTCTCATCTGCAAAACGGGTTTGGTAAGATCTTTCCTAACAATTTGGAAACAGGTGTGCTCTTAGCGCGCACCGCGGTCACTGTGCGGAGTGGCCGAGGTTGGGATTCCCCCGCCTGGCCTTTTGGATCCCCGGCCATCTACTTGGCGTCTGTCGTCTCGGTGATCTGCCTCCTCGCGCAGAAGCTAGGGGAGGGAGACTCCGAGACCCGGCCCTGTTGAGGCAGCATCCGGAGCTGCTGGCACCGCGCCCGAGCCAGCCCGAGCCTCTCAGACCCTCCTCCCCTCGGGAGTGGCCCGGGTGGGTCACCTTAGAGCTGACTGTCCCCCCTGCCTGCCCTCGTCGCTGGCTACAAAAAGTGTGGAATCGTGGCTCTCTCCCTTAACTGCGACCCCAAATTTGGATTTACATACAACTCTGCTGCTGGGCGAAGACCCGGAGCCCTTCGGCTGGGTCCTGTATCCCTAACGCCTTCCCCTCATCCAGAGATGGATGTGGGGGGGGAAATTCCTGGCGGAGCCTTAAACGACGCCGGCATGTAAAGCTGCCCCCCTACCCGGAGGGATTCAAAAGACAATTACCCCAAAGGAAAGTTATTGTTTTGCTAATCCCGGGAACAGCTTGTGAGGGGAGATTTGGGTCTTCCTTTAATAATGGAAAGTTAATGCGCAGCCTCTTGTCATTATCTTTATCGGAAGCCCCTTGTTTAATCCGCACGTTTAGCCGGGGCCCCACCCGGACGCGCAGAGAACGGGGCGCCACCGTGCAGGGCTCGGGCTCCGGCGCAGACTTGCGCTCCAGGAGCGGCGCCGAGCCCCTGCGCGACGCTGGGAGCTGCCCCGCCCCTCGACGGGCGACCTCGGACTGGGGGGCCCTCGGGGTGGGACAAAAGGGATCCTGCCTCCGGGGTCCTATGACTGGGAAGGACTCCGAGCGCTGAGGGTTGCGGCGGGCTCAAGACGTCAGCCCCACGCGCGACCCACGTGCTGTGCCGCCAACTTTAACACCTGTGAGGGTTTCACATGAAAGTCAGGCTTTCTTTGAATAATCATAAAATTGGACAATAATGTGTTAGCCCCGAGAAGAGGGGTGCGTCCCGGCAGACAGACTCTATTTTATTCTAATTTACTCGCCATTTCCCCAGTTTAGGGTTGCTGGGTAAAGTACTGGTGTGTATTCAAACTAAAAAAAAAAAAAAAAAAAAAAAATCATTGCCGATCTTGAACTCTAGTTTCGCGGGGCCTCCTGTGCTTTTATTGGCTAAGCCTGGTGCCCTGCTCCATCATCGCAGCCCGGCTCAGCACCTCCTGCTTCTACTTCTCACCTTCCCCCAGCTCCTGCGGCTTTGCTGACCCCCGACGGCCCAGACAAAGAGTGCTGGGGACGGGGCTGGATTTGGCTGGGGTAACGTGGCTTTGGTTAAATAAACGTTGCTCACTCCTTCCCCCTCGGGGATTTCCAGGGAAGGCCTTCTGGGAGCAGGACCTTCTCGGCTCCGGCGGCGGAGTTGGGGGGCCGGCCGGGGCGTTGCATTGGTGACAGTGGCTGAGAACTAGGCCCTAGGTCTTAATGGGCGATTGGGGCGTGTCAGAGAGGCTCCGGGGCGGCCGGTAGTGCGGCCTTCACCCGGGTAGTCAGAAAGGAAGGAGAAGACCGCACCGAGATGTGAACTTGAGGCTGTTACAGGGACAGGCAGACAGCGGAGTCGTTGTCCCCTCCCTTCTTTCCGACCCTCCCGCCCGGGAATGGGGGTGGGGTGGGTAAGGGGACAGCTGGCGACAAGAGAGGAGGTGATTGAGGGGACTGCAGATGGGAGGGCGGCGACCGAGGGGAGGGGAACTGGTGGCGTCCCCATCTCGCTGGGTCCGGAACGGTGACGCGCCCGCGCCCCGCTGATTGGAGTCCTCCAGGCCTTCGGTGCCCGACGGGCAGCCCGGTTGTATAAAGCATCCTCTGAACTGGGCTCCCTCTGCAAAGGTGACCCAGAGAGGGTCGCGCCTCGTTGGCTGAGAAACCATGACTGGACGAGACGCGCTTTCCGACGGGCGCGCCAGGAGCCAGACGCTGGCGCCCGGCACGTCCCCCACGGGCTCGCGCCCCCGGGGCTTCGCCATCATGGACCTGCTGGGCTTGGAAGCCGAACTGCCGGCGCCCGCCCGCCCGGAGCCGGGATCGGGCTGCGAGGGCCCGACAGCCGC